ATATTAGTGTTTTTCATGAGCTCTGTGTTAAATCTCAGCAATTATAGACATTTGCAAAATTAATTTGGTCAGATTTTAAATAGAGTGCCACTTATGGCTGAATCCGATTACATGTTTTTTTCTGCTTTCTTCACTAATGCATTAGAATCTCCTGGTACTTTTTACCAAATGTAAAGATGAATATGCAGCTCTCAAATCTCTGATCTAGGAGTGTGTGTGTGCTCAATGGTGCATTATCTGAAAATATTTGCATTTACATTTGCATTATTTGTCTGTATCAATCTAGCTATGGCGTCTTTGATCACCTCAAATAAATATTTTTTGTTACATATAAAAGTGTGAAACCTTTTTAAACGTTTTAGTTGTCCGAAAGGTTGAAAAAGTGAAAAAGCATAATTTCTGGTTGCTGTTTAGGTTACTATAGTTTTTGGGAACCAATATGAATATTTGGATTTTAGCATCTTGTGCCCAGCCTTTCTATGTATTAACGCTTACACAAATGCATTATTTACGTGCTGAAGCCTTAAAAGCCAGCAGCTTGTTTTCCTTCAGCTCTGTTCAGTACAGCAGTATGAGTGTATGGTTCAAGGAGGCTTGAGTGGTCAGTGCCTCGTGGACAACAGCAAGCGTGAATTTCATGAATACTTGGCATGTTCTGCATACTGTGATCAGCAGTTTCAGATATCTCTGTGGTTTTCATAGCTAACACAACCCTGGTAATATGAATGAATTGTTTTTTTTAAGTAGGACAGGATAATGTGTGCTGCTGCCTCATTTATTCAGAATTAACCTTAATAATATAATCCTCAAATGAATGTGAATATTAGAATTACTCGCACTGCAGTTTCTCAGTTTTGTCATCTTTCATAATTGGCACCAACTGTCATTTCATACAAGTTGCTCATTATATTTGCACATTAGACCAGTTCGATATTAGAGGATATTTTATTATGTTAAAGGCTGCTGTCAAACACTGCAGAGCCTTTATGCCACTTTTGTTCTGCCAGATTTTGGTTTCCTTTTTTTGGTCTTTGTAACATTTCTGTTCATTGGGCAGCAGATCTGTTTACACTGCAGTGTTTGTCTCCCAAATGTGTAGTCTATAACACTGTTTTTACATGAATACCCTACTAAGATGGGCAGTTTGATCAAGAAGTG